CCATTCCACACCTCCTCCTGGGAAGTGGACATCGACCATGGATCTATAATACTGACTGCAGACTAAATTCACATGGGCTGCACAGACAAAAGTTCCATAAAACTCAATGTAAACTAAAACAGCTCGATCTCAGCTGACAGAGAACCTGACAGATCTCCCGGTCTCCATGAAGTCCCATGCACTACTGAGCAAAAGCCATTCATTTGAATAGGGCGCCACCTTGGATCTGTCTAAACAAATGCTACGGCCAGGTCATCACTCAGGGCTGACATTTAATAAAATGCACAATTTTTGTGGATGTGCTGCTGTCATTTAAATTCAATTACATTTACTTTTGTTTTGCCAAAAATTATAAGAGTTGATATCTTGGAGGACTTTACAAAGCTGTCTAATCATCACCACTGTCCTGTAACGGCAAGGAACAACTCTAAAAAAGTTTATACAGTGTACATTCTAGAAGATCTGTCACGTGATGGAAATGCAGGAAGGACTCAAATGCAGGAATGCAAAAATAATAATTTAATGAAATAAAGTCCAAGGTGATAACAATGTTCAAAACTCAAAAATCCAAAGGGAACAGAAACAGGACAGAACTTGATGAGACAACACAATGGACCAGCAACGAGGGGAGAGGAGCACAGGTACAAATAGACACAGACACAGGTGAAACACATCAGGGCAGACAATCAAGACAGGGGAACACAGGGCAGGAAGTCAAACTAAAACTAATCCACAGATAACAGCGTCAAAATAAAACAAAAATACAAAAATAAAATCCACACCATGACAAGATCATCATAAAAGATATCACTGTATCAATAGACTGTAAATATTAACTGACATAGTCATGCCTATCTCCGCCTTTGAAACTAATGTGCCACTACTTTCGCCTTCTGTGGGCAGTTTCAAAATGGCCGTGGAAAAACGCATTTGCGAATCCGTCAGCCAGCACCAGCACCATTAATTTGACGAGTGGGAAGAAATACTCCCCTCAGCATCATCACACAACCTGAACATAGTGTTGGGCCAAGAGCCAACTTTTAGACCATCCTGTAAAGCCGTTTTTGAGAGGAAAGAAGACGTCATAAAAAAGTATTGGGTAATTCTCTTTCTGGGTACACCCCCACCTGCCGGGGGTTAGGGTTAGCTAACCCTAACCCTAATGACTTACATCGTGTACAATAAACCAAATGCTGCCTTTTGACACTGGGAAAATAAACCCACCAAACAATTGTTGATTTGAGCCTGTTTAATTAATTCTATAATGGGTACAATGATTTAGCTTATGAGACAAAAATTGGATAGCTAATCAACTATTTCATTCATTTATTTAATCAATGCAGAGAAACATCATAATGTTTGTTGTTTTGCTGATATAACAGCGACTGTCCCATCAACATCATCAACTCTCTGTGCCCCTGGATTATGAATATGATTAAAGTTCTGTAGACGAAACATCTCCAAGACTTTCTGCAAACACAAAGGTGGGCATGCATCGTGTCGCCCCAATGAAGAAGATTGAATGGATTAATAAATAAAACGAGGGCATGAGCATGTTGTCCTCTTCTGCTTCACAGTCGTCTGTGTAAGAACTCCCAAACTTCCCCATACCTCAACATTTACATTTACTACGATCCCAGGTAGGGATGTAAAAAAACTATGAATTTTCATGACCGACCACCGAGCCTCATTGACCGGTGGAAACCGGTTAACCGCGTAGTTTAAAATATCCCAGGTTCTTTGAAATAACAGCCATTTCGAGTCGCATACTTTTCATAAGTGCAGCTATGCGTTCTACTGGATCAGAGCCGAGACAGCGGCGCCAAAACCCGCAACAACTTCAGCTCCTTTGTGCACAGAGAACTGCTGTTTTAATCTTCCCATTCTTCTGTGCTGCGGGTTAAATCTTTTTAGCAGCAAACTACGGCTCGTTCACATGGTCTCACAGATCTCCTCTAAAGTTTAATTACAAGTGATGTGTGTGGAGCTGATGCCAAGGACCAGCAGCACAAACGTGTTCCATATGGTTTGACTGAAGCCGTGTATTTGGATCCTTTGGGCTGCGTGACACAGAGGAGCGCGACAGACCGGTATGTGTGTGTGTGTATGTATGTGTGCATGTATGTATGTGTGTGTATATGTATGTGTGTGTATATGTATGTGTGTGTATATGTATGTTCGTGTAAATGTAAGCTCCAATGTAGTTCTGACCCGCACCAGTGTGCAACTTTGGAGGTAACAGAGGGGAGAGATGATGCGTGTGGATGTTACGTATCAATGGAGGGGGGGAATGTGTGTGTGTGTGTGTGCGTGCGTGCGTTTGTCTGTAGTTAGAGCTGTATCAGACTGTTGTGGTGAAGAGGGAGCAGCATCTGCAGTCAGAGCTGTATCAGACTGTTGTGGTAAAGAGGGAGCAGCGTCTGCAGTCAGAGCTTTATCACACTGTTGTGGTGAAGAGGGAGCAGCGTCTGCAGTCAGAGCTCTATCAGACTGTTGTGGTAAAGAGGGAGCAGTGTCTGCAGTCAGAGCTGTATCAGACTGTTGTGGTGAAGAGGGAGCAGCGTCTGCAGTCAGAGCTGTATCAGACTGTTGTGGTAAAGAGGGAGCAGCGTCTGCAGTCAGAGCTGTATCACACTGTTGTGGTGAAGAGGGAGCAGCGTCTGCAGTCAGAGCTCTATCAGACTGTTGTGGTAAAGAGGGAGCGGCGTCTGCAGTCAGAGCTCTATCAGACTCTTGTGGTGAAGAGGGAGCAGCGTCTGCAGTCAGAGCTGTATCTGACTGTTGTGGTAAAGAGGGAGCAGCGTCTGCAGTCAGAGCTCTATCAGACTGTTGTGGTGAAGAGGGAGCAGCGTCTGCAGTCAGAGCTGTATCTGACTGTTGTGGTGAAGAGGGAGCGGCGTCTGCAGTCAGAGCTCTATCAGACTCTTGTGGTGAAGAGGGAGCAGCGTCTGCAGTCAGAGCTGTATCTGACTGTTGTGGTAAAGAGGGAGCAGCGTCTGCAGTCAGAGCTGTATCTGACTGTTGTGGTGAAGAGGGAGCAGCGTCTGCAGTCAGAGCTGTATCACACTGTAGTGGAGAAGAGGGAGCACAGTGGAAAGGCAAAGCTTTTGATTTAGCGGTCGATCTACGTTCCCACCTTTACCTCTGGTTATGAGCTTTAGCTAAAGACAGAAAGGACGAGATCGCGGGTACAGATGGTCGACTGAGCTGTCTCTGCAGAGAGAGGAGCTCGGAGTAGAGCCACTGCTTCTCGTTGTGAGGAGCCAGTTGAGGTAGCTCGGACATTTGTTTGGGATGCTTTCTAGATGCCTCCTGTTGCCTCACGCTGACTTTGTAAGTAAGTAAGTAATCTTTATTTATATAGCGCCTTTCACATACCACAGTCATAAAGCGGTTTACAATTGTTTTTATTTTTGGGCATTTGTCTCTCACTCCACACAGAGATGTGAGGGGCCAGTACAGGAGGCGCTTTCCAGACCTATTGTACATTTCCCGGAGGAAACCTACACAGACACGGGGAGAACATGTAAACTCCACACAGAAAGGCCCTGGTCCGACCGGGATTGCTATCCACTCAGCCGCGTGCCGCCCAGCTTTCACCGGTACAGAGTCATTTCAGACCTAAGAATAGACTTTTTCCAACAATGGAAATCCGTCACGTAGAGCCCCATGTCCTTGATCCAGAATCTCACCCTAATGATTTAGTTAACTGTAGTATACAGTGAGTTAGTCGAATTTACAGATCCAGGCTCCTCTTTTTTATTATGGAAATAAAATCAGGTTTCAAGATCAGCTTTTGAGTATGTCCAGTTTCAAAGCAACCATAGTTCTGGAAACAGTCTTTGTGGAAGTTGAACAGATAGGTTGCGGATTTTAGAGGCAGATCCCCGTAAATAAAGTCGAGCCACAGTCGCTTCATTCTTTGTCTTTGCTTAAATACACCCAGAAACACATTTTCTCAAAGTGGACATGATACAAAACAGAAAAATCACAATCTATGGGTGGAGAGGCGAGACTATACTAATACAGTATTTACAGTCTATGGACCACATGCCGGACTCAGAGAGGCTGCTCGGCTGATTCGCTGTTTCAACTTCCACCTGCTGTCAGTCACCTCCTGAAGGTGAGCTTCTGACATCACGATTTGGTACCACGTTACATTTGAATTGAGTTGTTTTGCAGCCTCTCGAGAATGAAACCAAAAGATCGCTCTCTAGCGAAAGCTTTGAGGAAATCAATAAAAATTGCGCTGGGCGTGTGTATGAAGGTAAATAGCACTGTAGAGGTGTTTAAAGCATAAAAGTGTCAAAAAGCGAGATATGGGACCTTTAATATGCTTAAAAAAAAAAAAGATCTTTTACCAACCGTCTTAAAATACTCATAATTGTAAAAAAAAAGTCATGAGGAGCGCAGATCCCACTGCTCAGATCTGCAAGCGAACTTACCAAGGCAGGGGTTGTGGATGTCCGTGAAAGAACTTAACGAGGCAGGGGTTGTGGATGTCCGTGAGAGAACTTACCGAGGCAGGGGTTGTGGATGTCCGTGAAAGAACTTACCGAGGCAGGGGTTGTGGATGTCAGTGAAAGCACTTACCGAGGCAGGGGTTATGGATGTCCGTGAGAGAACTTACCGAGGCAGGGGTTGTGGATGTCAGTGAAAGCACTTACCGAGGCAGGGGTTATGGATGTCCGTGAGAGAACTTACCGAGGCAGGGGTTGTGGATGTCAGTGAAAGCACTTACCGAGGCAGGGGTTGTGGATGTCAGTGAGAGCACTTACCGAGGCAGGGGTTGTGGATGTCAGTGAAAGCACTTACCGAGGCAGGGGTTATGGATGTCCGTGAGAGAACTTACCGAGGCAGGGGTTGTGGATGTCCGTGAGAGAACTTTCCGAGGCAGGGGTTGTGGATGTCAGTGAAAGCACTTACCGACGCAGGGGTTGTGGATGTCCGTGAGAGCACTTACCGAGGCAGGGGTTGTGGATGTCAGTGAGAGAACTTACCGAGGCAGGGGTTGTGGATGTCCGTGAGAGCACTTACCGAGGCAGGGGTTGTGGATGTCCGTGAGAGCACTTACCGAGGCAGGGGTTGTGGATGTCAGTGAGAACACTTACCGAGGCAGGGGTTGTGGATGTCAGTGAGAACACTTACCGAGGCAGGGGTTGTGGAGGCTTGCGATCTTGTTTTGGTCGTTGAGTCGGTATCCATCGAAACAGTTGCAGTAATAGGAGCCGATGGTGTTGGTGCAGTTACAGCTGGGGCCGCAGGTGGTTTGCTTATACCCTTTGAATCTATCCACAACTATCGAAAATCTCACACACTCATCCATGTCTGAAACAAACACATACTTCAAGGTTACACTGTGTAGTTTTTACTCTCATCTAACATCGAGATCATATATCGCAAGTTTACTTCTACCACCAACACTATGGAAGCCTTCAAGAACACTTTGTTGTCTTTGACTGTGGTCCTCAACCCCATTCACCCCTCAACTCCTCATTCACCAGGGAAAATCTCCTTTAGGGCATGGTCACATAGGTTTTTACAAACAAACTAGGTCAAGTGGACCGGATCGTCGCCACAGGGGTGTGGAAACGGCCCGCGGCCAGAAGAACGTGTTTTTGCAAACGTGCCAGAGAAACTGTGCTGTAGTACTTCTGTCCAACTGGTGGCGCTAATACTAACTTTGGCAACTACCTCGTTGTCCGAGTTCAGTTTCTGTTTCTCTTCCTGTTTACATTCTGCTACTGTAGCTAACAACTCAAGTATGGATCTTTGTTTAGGGAAAGACAAATCACACACTTGTCCACATTGCTCTGATGCAAAGTGCAGCAGTTCAGTGGGTAACGTGTGTATGTGTGTGTGTGTGCGCTGCGGACACGGGAGCGCGCCTGTGTTTAGCATACGATCAGAGCGACCGGAGCCAGGCAGGATACAAGTGTGTGTTGGTGTGCTCTGGCAATTAGATAAAGACTGATTCTTGAATGTCTGAAGTCTTATTGCAATAGCACCACACTGTGAGAGCGAGGGTCAGGACAGAAGAGAGCTATACTCGTAGGAAACGCTTTTCTTTGGCCCTGGAGCGACACACTCGCCTGCGGCCCTCCACCGCAGTCCGGGGGGTTATATGAAAGATTTAACACAAGCGGAGAATACAAAAGTGCAGAGACGTGTGTGAAAATGCCCGTAATAACGGAAGACTTGCGGAAACCCAGTTGTTGCGGTCTAACCCGGATCTAATCGCGAAGTGGGCCCTGGCACACTTTAACCGGGCTTTAGGCGGTGCATTTGACCGCAGCCTTAGTTTGATAAATGACCGGATCTCTACAAAAACACCACCGCGCCACAAATGTGCCTCACACACGTGCACGGAGGTGGACATGTGAACTAAGTCTGCGTTGTGAAGCGGAACGCGCTGCACAGAGGTGTTTCACCATGGATCTGTTATAATACTGCATATAGTTTTACCATGGATCTATTATAATATATAGTTTTACCATGGATCTATTATAATATATAGTTTTACCATGGATCTATTATAATACGTAGTTTTACAAACGCTGTGAGAGGAGACGTATGGAGGAATGGGAAATCTTTGGGAGCTTTAAACTTGTGGAACAGAGACAAAAACAGGGAAACCAAGAATCAAGCGTTTATGGAAAGTTTTATTGTGTTTTTTTTAAATAGTTAATTATTGAAGAAGTAAAGAAATTCAGTATTCAATGTGATGAAATGTGAACATACCTATGCATTGGTTGTCGTGATGAGCCATGAGAGATTCGTTCGTTGGTACGTAGCCCACTTCACATTCACAATAGTAAGATCCCATTGTGTTCAAGCAAATGGCGTCTCTCCCACACAGGTTTGTGTCTTCACACTCAACAATGTCTGAGAAGCAGAAGTCACAAGAGTTCTGCTTTGAAGGAAAACTAAACACCAAATCAACTTTTTTTAAACTCAAAACCTGCATATATATTTCTTTGTTATATATAGTGCTCTTTATATATCCTGGTATTATTTTTTTTTACATTCTAGAGCAAAGTAAACAAAATCTCACTTTTGAGCCTAAAACCGTCTGTGTGTCTCTACATTTTTGATGGTACAAAATATGAATTTCGTGCCTGGTCTCTCCAAGTCTCACAAACGCTGTAGCGAGTTTGTGTATTCTGGTGACATCTAGTGGTTTAAAAGTAAATAACATCAGTTGATAGTCATTACTAGACTTCTGAGATAATTCTGTGGATTAGGGGCAACTGTGTAGCTCTACAATGATCTCAGTGTGTGTAAACAAAGGAATGAGACTTTCTGGTGTGTAAACTGTTGCTTTAAGCAGCAAAAACAACTGTCTGATTTTTTTGTGTGGGCATGTGATTGACAAGCGACCTGTCCATCGCAGCCCAGACCACGCCCAACTCTAAGCCCCCTTCTTGGTCCTCCAGGCAATGCCCTTTTTAGAGAACATGTTCAAAAGTTCATGTGGGCGGAGTAAGGCTGGTGTTTAGTTTCCCTTTAAGGCTAACCAACATTAATGTGCATACTGTAAATTGTAAATGTCGACCAGTGAGAAATAATCTTGTTTCAAACCTATACATGGCGCAGATTTTCCGTCGAGGAAAAATCCAGTATTGCAAGTGCATACAAAACTTCCCACGGTATTCACACACTCGCCGTTATCGCCACAAATTCCAAGGTCGCATTCAATGATATCTGTGAAAAAAAAGTAGATTAGCTTCATCATATAACCACCAACAATACCGTATATCCATCCATCCATCCATCCATTTTCTACCCTTTAATCCATTTCTGGGTCAGGGGGGTGGCAGTCAGAGATGCCACCCAAGTCTCATAGCACCAGCCCCTCACTGACCCTCTGCAGGTGGTGAGTCCACAGGAGGACGGCTGCTCTCTGAGTGTGAGCATAGCCTTGATCTTTCAGTGGGGGCTTTGGGCAAAGTGGGGTTAAGTGTCTTGCCCAAGGACACAACGACAGCAGTCATCAGTGGGAGTCGGTGGAGAAGGTGCAGAGGTGGGAATTGAACACACAACCTTCTGGGCTTAAGGCCAATGCTCTACCAACTGAGCTACTGTCGCCCCTACTGTCCAAATGCTGGATCGGACATTCAATGGGATGTCAGTCTCTTCAATTGTATTCTAGTTCAACAATTTGGTTTTCTTTTGTCTAATCAGGAAGCACGAGGTGACGATGTCTCCGCTCTTTCTCTTCAAATGTTAAAAATCAGACACATTCACTTCCAGAGGCTTACAGTAGTCTTTGTTGCTATTCTTCATTGTGTTAGTCTATTTTATGTGTTAGTATTTACAGACATGTGTCTATGTGTATGTTTCAAATAGGTTCTGTTTACTTCCCAATGACCCTGGCCTATTTTCTCTTAACCGTCTGACAAAATCAGAAAACACATTCAAACCAATCTGCTTGATAACTTTGAATGTTTAAATATTATTGATGCTTATAAAGAAGACTGTTCTTTTGAGTCTTAAAAATGCATTTAGCTGTACATTGTTAATTATGTGTTGAAGGCCTATATACGCTCCCATCCTTCTCTGTGATACCTTCTGCAGGAGCTTGGACCTGACAGACCTGGCTCAGACCAAAAGCTCTCAATCAAAGTAGAACAACTGGAGTCTCATGGTCTCTGGTCCCTTTTGGAAACAAACAAGTACAAACAAGAGGCTTTTGAGGCTGAGGCCCTGACGGTTTGGCCTCTGATGACTCTCTTACACTAATCAGAAGTCAGAATAGAAATTGATAAGAAATATCAGACTCCTAATTGCCTGCATCTTCTAAATATAGCAGCAGGTATAACTGGTGTCTAATAAAGTGATAAATACTAATGGGTTTTTGACAATTTCCCCCTTTACAGTTAAGAAACTTTAAACTATCACATTTAGGTACCTGAATTTGAGCAATACAGTCCTACTACATTTCTTACAATGTACTACTTAGAAAATCCTTAATGTACGGACCAGGATGTTAAATATTGGGTTTGTCAATTATTTAAGATAATAGACAATACAATTAAAATAAGACAATACAATGGTAAATTAGAATAAAATATAATAAGATAAACTCTGGAGCTATAATGTCACTTGGTTCAGAAGTATTTACAGATGTGTATATTGTACTTTAGCAGCTGAGAATATGAGGATATGAATATGAGCAGAATAAATATCAGAAATAATATCATCAGGTAAAGTGACGGTGAAATATCAGATGGATCTGTAATAATGCAGTAGTACTGATGAAAGTGACTAGTGACAAAGTTACTGATGAATTATCAGTGACACTTGTGCAGACTCAGCAGTTCCTGTTATACATTCTCATTGTACAGTCTGACAGCAGCAGGAAGGAAGGACCTACGAAACCTCTCCTTCACACAGCGACGGTGAATTAGTCTGTCACTTACTTACTTACTATAATAGGTTTGATTTGAGCTTATTTTTCTTAATCTTTCTAATTCCTTTGAAAAATATGCGGAACATGAATTGCAGTAAATTATAGACGGCGAACCTTTTCAATGCCAATGTTTATTTATTTATTTATTATTTTATTTTAAACCTGGTTTTATGCGTTTTTCTTTGTTCATACCCAGTTTAATTTGTATTATTCGTGGCAAGTTCATTTTATACATTTTAATTTAATAATTTGAAAGAATTCATAATCAAAACACAAAACTTTATTTGTTTTGTCCTTTTTTCTCTTTTTCTTTTGCTGACCCAAAGACTGATCCGATTCGTGTCTGATCCGAGAAACAAAGAGCCTTTCGATCCGTTGCACCTATAGTTTGAACTGTTAGATTCTCTGATCTGTGTTGGCAATTTTTCGTCTGATACAAGAAGACCTTGAATCGAATGGAAATATTTGATTTGGTTAAATTTTTATTACATGTTTTGCTACTTTCTGACATGTCATTAAATCTGCAATAGAAATGTCCTTTACTGGTAACAGCAAGGACCAGCAACACCATGAACCATATCAAAGAATAATGTTTTAGTGATTGGCTTTGTGCTAAACCTTACATAATCACAAAACTGTAGAGCACAGGTGTCAAAGTCCAGGCTCGGGGGCCAGATCCGGCCCGCAAGACCATTTTTAGTGGTCCCTAAAATATATTTTTATTTTTAGGAACTTGCAGCATTGATGGTAAAGGGCGACCAAGGCAGGTCATACATAATCTATTTTTTCCGGAAAACACCCAAATGTAAAGTTAAATATTTTAAAATAATTTTGTTTGCCTTCCCCGCTATAGAGGTATTTATGAAAGGAAAGACTTCTGCATCTGCTTTACCGATGCACGGGTTGGATCCAGAGGGGGCCAGGGACGTGTTGGTGGCTTTGTATCCAGTCACACAGACGCAGTCGTAGGATCCAGGATCGTTCACGCACTCTGCGTTGGACCCACACCGGCCGGTAGTCTGAGCACACTCATCTATGTCTGAGAAACAACACACAACACATACATTATCAGCTGTGCGTACTGTTTGTTCTAACAAAAAAACATACACTGAACATGTGAATATGTGTCTCATTGTGTTGAATAAAATCATCATAATGAAGAAATCCAATAAATACACTGTAAAAAATCTTAATTTGAGTACATTCTGAATGTCTTAAAATAAGGTTTGCCAATGGAACAAAGTCATTTAGTCTTATCTCAAGAATTGTTTTATTTTTTCATTCCAAGGGAGACATATTTTTGTCACTTTGGCGAATCTTTTTTTAAGGCAGTCAAAATGTGCTCAAATTAAGGTACATATTGCCTAATATGAGCATTTTTCTTTATTTATTGTTTTTGCAGTGGGCAAGGCAAGGCAAGTGAAGTTTATTTGTATAGCACAATTCATACACAAGGCAACTCAAAGTGCTGAACAAGATAGCATTAAAATCATAAATAATCACAGAACATTAAAACGAAAGATACAAATATAAAATCCCTCAGTTGTAGCACAGCTAAACAGCACCGTTTTTAACCTGGTTTTAAACATTGTCAGAGAGGAGGCCTGTCTCACATCTTCAGGAAGATTGTTCCAGATTTTAGCAGCATGAATCTGAAAAGCAGCCTCCCCATGTTTAGTTCTGACTCTGGGCACTAACAGGAGTCCAGTCCCTGTGCTCCTCAGAGTCCCAGCAGGAGTCCAGTCCCTGTGCTCCTCAGAGTCCCAGCAGGAGTCCAGTCCCTGTGCTCCTCAGAGTCCCAGCAGGAGTCCAGTCCCTGTGCTCCTCAGAGTCCCAGCAGGAGTCCAGTCCCTGTGCTCCTCAGAGTCCGGGCTGGTTCATATGGGACTAACATGTCACTAATATATTTTGGTGCGAGGCCATGGAGAGACTTGTAACAAGCAGAGCTGTTTTAAAGTCTATTCTCTGAGCCACAGGAAGCCAGTGCAGGGACCTGAGGACTGGACTAATGTGGTCGTACTTCCTGGTTCTAGTCAGGACTCGAGCTGCTGCATTTTGAATGTACTGCAGCTGTTTTACAGCCTGTTTGGACAGACCTGTGAGCAGGCCATTGCAGTAGTCTAACCTACTGGAGACAAATGCATGGATAAGAATCTCCAGGTCTGCTTTAGACACTATGTTTTTGATCCTGGAAATGTTTTTTAGATGGTAAAAAGCTGCTGATGTTACTGATTTGATGTGGCTATTAAAATTTAAGTCTGAGTCCAGTATTACCCCTAGATTTCTGACCTTGTTTGAAGGTTTTAGGGAGAGAGACTGTAGATGACAGATGACGCTCTCTCTTTGTTTCTGGGGACCAAAGACAATCATTTCAGTTTCGTCTGCGTTTAGCTGAAGGAAGTTGTTTTGCATCCACTCACTGATCTGTTGGATACAGTGAAGGAGTGAGTCCACTGGTCCATGTTCTCCTGCAGTCAGTGAGACATAGATCTGAGTGTCGTCTGCATAGTTGTGATAGGAAACTTTGTTTCTGCGTATTAACTGACCTAACGGCAGCATGTAGAGATTGAACAGAAGAGGTCCCAGGATCGACCCCTGTGGGACTCCACAGGTCAGGGCCATATGATCTGAGACACAGTTTCCAATCTCCACAAAGTACTTCCTGTCTTCAAGGTAAGACCTAAACCAACTTAGGGCGGTGCCAGCGACTCCAACCCAGTCCTCTAGTCTCTGTAAGAGGATCTCATGGTCGACGGTGTCAAAGGCAGCACTCAGATCTAACAAGATTAGGATTGAGACTTTGCCTGCGTCAGTGTTCAGCCGGATATCGTTTGTAACCTTGACGAGAGCAGTCTCAGTGCTGTGGTGGGGTCTAAAGCCGGACTGAAACATATCAAATGAGTTGTTGATTATAAGAAATCTAGTAAGCTGTAGGTAGACAACTTTTTCAAGGACTTTCCCCATAAATGGCAGATTTGAGATGGGACGATAGTTGTTAAGTACCGTAGCATCCAGACTGCTCTTTTTTAGCAGGGGCCTGATGACTGCAGTTTTCAGGGCCTTTGGGAATATTCCAGAATGAAGGGACATGTTTACTATCTGTGTGAGTGAATGTAACAGACTGCTCAGAACAGACTTCAGAAATCTAGTGGGTAGTACATCCAGGCTGCATGTGGAGGAGCTCAAACTGGAGATTATCTCTTGGACAGTTTGATCATTTACAGGTGCAAAGTAAGTTAGCTCAAAGAGCCTTTCTGGCTGTTGGATTGTTATCTGTGGATTGGAGACAATGGCGTTTTTGATGCCTTGAACCTTGTCATTGAAAAAATGTGCAAACTCATTACATTTACGTTTGGAAGTTAGCTCTAATGGCATTTGAACAGGGGGGTTTGTTAATCTATTAACTGTTGAAAACAGAACACGCAGATTGTTGCTGCAGCCTTCAATCATTTCAGAAAAATACCTTTCTCTCGTACTACGTAGCACCTGGTTAAACTCGCACAACTTATCTTTGAAGATCTTGTAATCAACCTGGAGGTTGGACTTGCGCCACTTCCGCTCGGCCCTCCGGCACTCTCTCTTTTGTGCCCTAACCGAGTCTGCTTTAGCCCACGGCGCCTTCTGCTTATTTTTCACTATTTTAACCTTCACAGGGGCAACGGTATCCAGAACATTCAAAACACTAGAGGTGACAGAGTTAAACAGTTCATCTACAGTAGAATACGATGCATTCTCAAAGTTTATCATTCCCATAAATAGTTCACCCGTATTTTCATTTATGTGTCTTCTTCGTACAGTTGCAGAGTCCACTGGTGGTTTGTTAGTGAAACACATGTCAAAAAATATACAAAAATGATCCGAAAGAGCAACATCGACCACGTTTACATTATAAATATTCACCCCCTTTGTAACTAACAGGTCTAGAGTGTGCCCTCTGCTGTGGGTGGGGCCACTCACATGCTGAGTGAGACCAAAAGATTCAAGAACAGAACTCAGCTCTTTAGCATTTCTGTCATCAACATTATCCACATGAATATTAAAATCACCTGTAATAACTAAACTATCAAAATCTGTGCATACAACTGAAAGCAACTCTGTAAAATTATCAATAAAACTGTGACATGACTGCGGTGGCTTGTATAGGACTATGAAGAGTATTGGACTAGGTTGTTTTTGTTGTATTTTAAAAGACACATATTCAAAAGACGGAAACTTCCCAAGAGACATTCTATGGGAGACAAAGTGGTCTCTGAAAATGGCAGCTAAGCCTCCTCCTTTTTTGTTTCCCCGTATTTCAGATTCAAATTTGAAATTTGGTGGTGATGCTTCTATTAAAACTGCATTTTCTGTATTTTGGTCAAGCCATGTTTCAGCCATGAACATAAGATCAAGATTATGAGAACAAATAAAATTATTGATTAAAAAAGACTTGTTAGAAAGAGATCTGACATTTAGCATAGCAAGTTTCAAAGTTTCAGGATCAGTGGTTGTGGTCGGCTGATTCTTACACGGAACAAGAATTAGATTTTCCTGATTAGACTGATTAAAATCAGATGTTTTTCTGTAATGTATTCTTTGTGTTATCACTAAGGGAATGGCACAGGTGGCTTCATGACAGGGCCCCAGCCGGGTCTCTCCTCTAACTAGACTGCCAGTGGCTGCGAAGCAGAGACCCTGTGCATCCTAGTGTTTAGAGAAAAGAGGGGTAGGGGAAGGCGCGGGAGGAGGATGGAGAGGTGGGTGGTTCTTGGGAGTTGGACGGGGGGGGGTTGAAGGTGGATGGGTTTTTGGTGATGGGTTAGGGGAGGGGCAGGCTGAGTTGGGTGGTGGACGAGGGGGGAGTGGAGGTGGAGGGTTACTTGGTGCTGAGTTAGGGGGGGGGAGGTGGGCTAAATGAGCAGGAGGGGGGGGTGGAATACTTATGGGGTTAGAGGAGGGACGGGTGGATTTTGTGGGAGAATTTGAGTTGGACGCCCTAGGTGGCTTTGGAGGTACGTATGGGGAGTAGTTTTGAATGTTAGATAGGACTCTTGATCTGGCTACAGTGGGTGTGAGAGGAATAGTCTTCATCGCCGATCTTATCATGCCTGCAGAGTGTTCCGGTAAATCCAGTAGTGAAGGCGGGGATAGAAAACAAAGGGAAAGGTCGTCCTCATTTTCCCTAGATGGAGTGGATGTAGCGGGGGGGACCCAAGCCGGGTCCATGGAAGGTGATGAGGGAGTCTTTGGTGGAGACAGAGGTGGTTGAGGAACCCCCAGTACAGGCCTGACTGTAGCCTGGAGTAATGGGGGAAGCTTCACGGGAGCTGTAGGTGGGGAAGGTGCTGCTGAAGATGACGGAGCAGCCACTGCTGCTGCTGAAGATGATGGAGCAGCCACTGCTGCTGCTGTATCCACTGCTGCTGCTGAAGATGATGGAGCAGCCACTGCTGCTGCTGAAGATGATGGAGCAGCCACTGCTGATGCTGTATCCACTGCTGCTGGTGGTGCTGTATATGCTGATGGCGCTGATGAAGATGTGGCAGCTGCTGATGATGCTGTTGGTGGAGGCGTTGAGCTCTTTCGGAGCCGTGGAGGTGTTGAGTTCTTTTGGAACCTTGGAGGTGTTGAGTTCTTCTTGAATCGTGGAGGTGTGGAGTTCTTTTGAGGCGGTGGGGGTGCAGAGACCTCGGGAGTCGGTGGAGATGGTCGTGATGTCTGTGCCCTTTGCTTCTTCTTTCTCCCTTTCGACGGCTGCACGCGCTGCGCAGGCTGAGGTCTTAGGGCAGATGCAAAGTTATCCATCAACACTTTTACTCCGTAGTTGTTCAGATGTGGACCTTTTTCTTCAAAAAGCTCGTGCCTATTCCAGAACAGATTAAAGTTTTCAATGAAGCCAAGTCCTCTGCGTGAACACTCATTGAGTAGGAATGTGTTTAGCTGATACAGACGGCTAAACTTCTCCATTTTTCCATCTATATTTGGAAGTGGGCCACTAAGAAAAATGTTTATGTCCATTTTCTTGAGGTCATCCAGTAACAGCGTTAAATCCATTCGTAACTTCTCGCTTGCCTTCTCATAGATATCTACCGCCCCCGTGTGGATCAATAATGTACGCACACCACTGTTCTCAGATAACACTTTAGGCAGAAGAGTCCTTATCTCAGAAACTTTAGCAGAGTGAACTGAGACAGTGAGCATGGACTCCATGTTTACATTTTTCACCGAACCATCTCCGATAAGGACACAGTTTGTCCTTGGTGGAGGCGCTGCAGTTTTTAGCGGCTTTGTTGTTTCAGAAAGGGGTAAAAAGCGGTTTGAAGTCTTCAGAACATTTAGTTGTGGCCTTATTTCACTCCTATTGTCATTCTTAGCTTTGTCAACTTTGGGTTTAGCTCCACAATTGTTCCAATAATTCTCATTGTTGATTTTGGGAAAAGAAATGACGTCATAACTTACATTTCCAGTCTGTCCATTCATCCCATTTTCACTCATTGGAAGAGTCGGGTTTAGTCCCATTTCTGTTTCCACAATAGATATCCGTGTTTGAAGAGATTTGAGCTGATTTTCCAAAGCACAACAGCCACCGCAGACGTTTCTCCGTCTCTTTCGTCCCGACATGACTAAAGTTGATAAATTCCACAAAGCTGAAGTGTGTAGAAGGAGTAATCCTCGTTTTGTAAATAAAATGATTAAAGGAGAAACAAAAAATGTAAATAAAATGATTCAAGGAGATTAAAAGGCGAAGCAAAAGCAGAGCAGAGAGACACGACTGCTCTCTCGAGAAGCAGGAAAAGCAGTGTACAACATTCTTAATCGTCTGGGAGCCAGACACAATCCTCAGAAGAGCCACATCTGGCTCCCGACCTGACGTCCTGAGCTCTGCTATAATCACATGTCACTTCTATGTTCCAACAAAAGTTGAGCAGATTCCATGGAGCTTCCTGTTCTATACAGTTCTCGGGACATGGTTGGCACCAGCGCGCCCCGGAGGAAAACTTGGACTGACGTCAATCGTAGAGCTGGCTGAATGTAGAAGAAGCCGATTTGCTAGCTAGCATAAGCTAGCTCGAGCCAATTTTCTTTACTGGGCATTGGTTCCAACGAGTTTCCCCTGTGATTGAAGGCATCTGATTGGTTGATCCTTATACAACTAACATCTGGATATACAAAACAATTAGATTTGGTCTACTATTATGCTAACGTCAGAGATTGTGTACTTGCTTCTTTTTATTCTAGAGTTAGACATTTTATTATATATAAAGTTATTGTTCATTTATCTTGTGCTGTGTGCTCCTCTTCCTACAGTTCTGTAACCAGTGATGCAACACTGGAATTTCCCCACGGTGGGACACCTTAAGTGTGACACGAACAGCTACTGACCTAGAGGACTTTTACATGTAAAAGGAGCCAGAGAGAGGAGCCAAACTTCACCATGAGCACTTTGGACTTAATTGAATTATCCGGTAAGCTTTTCCATCTATAAACAATCTATGGCTTTTACCTGAACAAATATAAGAATCCGAAGGTGGTTCAACTGCAGGATCTAATTCATAGCCGGAGATACAAACACATCCGCC